AAAAAGATTACAATGCAGGAAAAGACTGGCATATCAACAGAACAAAACCACAGATCTAAGGCTGAAGATGTGGCTCGAGTGGCAGAGAGCTTGCCTAGCAAGCTCAAGCCCTAGACTGAGAGAGAAACAGGAGAGAGACAGAGAGAGAAAGACAGAGAAACAGATCTAAATACATACAGGACAAAGATGGTTAAGTAAGTCTAAGGTGCTGAGACAACTCAGGAGCCATCCATGAAAAATAACATTGCATCCTTGCCTAACTCAGTTCACACCCAAAACTCTAATTAATCAATATTTAAGTTTTAAAATAACCATAAAAGAGAGAGATTAGCTGGGCATGGTGATACATGCCTGTAATCCCACTCTCAGGAGGTTGAGGCAGATGGTTTACAAGTTCAAGGCTACATAATGAGACTATTTTTTTTTTTAAAGAGGGAATGGGGTTTTAAAAAATGTATCAGAGTGGGAAGGATGAATTATAAAACATAAGAGCAAAACGTGCTATGTAAGCACAAACTGATTATAACACAAGAGCAAATTTCTAAATAGCAAACACACATACACACACATACACATACACGTGTGTGCGCGCACACACAAAGCAAAAGAAGATAAACCAAAATCTTAGGGGGAAGTTAATATTCCTCATATTTAGAAGCCTTATTTAAAAAGTAGAAAAATACCAATCACTCAGCAGAAAATGACATTAAAAGACATTTCACAGCTGGCCCTGGTGATGCATGCCTGTAATTCCAGCACTTGGGAGGTTGAGGCAGGAGGATCCTGAGTTTGACACCATCCTGGGCTATATAGCAAAACCTTGTCTAAAAAACAAAAAAGACCTTTCACAGAAAATATGAGAAGCATTTTAAAATAGGAAAACATGTAGTAGAAAAAAAGTAAATTACAAAAAGTTTAAAATGAATGTTGAAAGTATAAAAACATATTCCATTTAACAGAACGGCAAAATGCAGTTCTAAACAAACAATTTTGGCAAAGCTATGGGAAAAACAGGCACTCTACTACACTATAGAAGAGAATGTAAAACAATAAAACTAAACAAAGGAAATTTGGCCTTTTTGAGAATGCACATATGCACTAATCCAGCAAAAACACCCAGCTCAGGGATGTATGTTTAATGTATACCTGCATATAGATTCCACGTAACATACATCAGGGTAGTCAACTCATTTTTATTTCGAAGCCTACAAAACATTTATGTACCTCAATAAGGGAGTGACTCGATTAAGTGTGGTGCAGACCACATGACAACATCACACAGACAGAACACCGATGAGGTTCTGCCCTTCTCCCCAGTGCTGTTCTGTTCTACGCTTTCTCTTTCAGGAATCTCATTTTCTATACTGGGATGCCCTCAGAGGAATAACAGTGTCCAAGAACTTGTAAAATTTTGTTACTTCTTGTTAGCTAAAGATTACCCTGGTATCTATCAAACGTTCGTTTCACTCAAAGATTATATAAAATTTTGCTTCTCAATGTTTGCTTCTTACGTATTTTTTTCTGCAAAGCTTGTATTTTAAAACTCCCTAGCTTGAGATAGATGATTTTCTCACTGATTTCAGCTTCCTGCAAAGTTTTTACTTTAAAAGATCATTTGTATTATGATGTTTTCTTTTAATCATTGGTTATTCAGAAGTCATTTATATTTCCAAACATGTAGAGAGACTTGTAGTCATATAGGAAAAGATACTTTATATAATTTCAATCATTTGATGTTTGCTCAGACTTCAAGAGAAGATAAATCATCTTACATAAGAGTGTTTTGTAAATTGGAATAGTCTAGAAATGTCCACTATGTCAGATTTTTAATTTTTTTGGCAGTACTGGGGTTTGAACTCAGGCCTATACTTAACACTCTATCATGAGCCACGCCTTTGGTCCTCATATTATTTTGGCAGTACTGGGGTTTGAACTCAGGACCTCACGCTTGTCAGGGAGGCACTCTACCACTTAAGCCATTCCACCAGCCCCAGTGCTCAGATTTTTAAATTTTAAAGTACTATTCAAATGTTCTAGTCTCTGATTTTTTTCTCCCTGCGAGAAGTATGTTAAAATCCAACTCTGATTATACAAATGTATAATCTTTGCAGTTCTAGTAACTTTTTCTTTTTATCTATGGAGGCCATGTTAAGTTAGATACAAATACACATTCAGATCCTCCTAATGAATTAAATCTTTTTTTCAGTAAATTTTTGTTTTGTTTTTCTTTGTTCTTAAAATCTTTCCTTGAGAGAGTTCTTTGGCTAATGTTTCATTATTGTGTTAATTAGCTTTCTGTGGTTGTGATAGAATACCTGAGATAAATTAACTTAAATGGAAGAATGATTTATTTTGCCTCAGTTTCACGGGCTTCAGTCCATAGTCAGCTGGCTCCATTGCTTTTGGGCCTGTGGCAAGGCAGAAACATCACAGAAGAGGAAGCACAGGATGGGCCTGAGGACAAGATATACCCAGAAGGTACACTCCCAGTGACCTACTTCCTGTAAGCAGCCCCCCCCCCTTGCCCATTCAGCTATGAACTAATCAACGGTTTAACCCATTGATAAATTCAGTGTGCTCATGATCTAAACAGTGCCACCAGCTGGTGACTAAGCAACATACACCAGCCTTCTTGGGGGAGTACTTCATAATCAAACCACAACAGCATCCCTCTTCTCTACTCTTTAATTTCAACACTTTTTTCACTTTATTTCCTGATATGTGGCTTGTAAACACATAGCATTTTATTTGAATAAGAAAAATAGCCTTTTAACTATAACAATCAATATTCACTTTTTGGAGATACTAATCGACTTTATGTCTCCCATCCTTTGTAATTTCCTTTTAACCTGCAAATTCTGCATTCATTTTCTGTATTCACTTGCCTTCCAATTTTAATTGATTAGTGGTCATTTTAGTAACCTTCATAAAAGGTACCAGCATGTCACAGAAAGCTTGAGATGCCATCCTTGCCTATTTTTCTTGGCAAAGGTTATTTAGCCTTGTAGAAAGAATCGACAAACTTTTTATGGTGCTAATCTGTTCCTTCATAATTTCCTTGGTAAATACTACCCCATATTTTTAAAAGGTAATTTAGAAATTTTTCTATTTTTTTGATGAGGGCATGACTCTTATTCAAACTTTGTACAGGTTGATGAATCAATTAAAAATTTTTAAGTAATTTTATAAAATGTGTACTGCAGATCTTTCAAATTTAGTTCAAATAATACCGAACAAATTATTTGTAATATTAAAATTTACTGCCTGAAAAATTTCTGCTTTCCTATTTGAATTGTTGCACTTTTTTTGTATTAGTCATACCTGGTGAAATCTAGCCTATATAACAGCTTGTTTGACAAATCCAGCTCATTAATTTTTTTATGTAACACTTTTAAGTAAATCAATAAATTAGTTTTACATAATGCATTCTGGTGTTGACTCTGGATTCATTGCTCTTCTGCTTGAATGTTTTCTATGTTTATCCAAATAAGCCAACTGCAGGTTTTATTATTTACAACTCATACTGAAATAGGTTGTCATTTCAAATTCCATTTTTCACCTAACCTAAAAGTTATTTATATATGGTGGTAATTATGAATTGCAAAGGTTTTCCTAATTTCATCAGTTGTTAGTATCCAATTGTCCTGAGTTATTTTAAGCAAGTGCAAAATGCTTTTGGAAATCTGCTATAGATGTCACTACTCATGTCACCTTTACTCTAAAAAAATTATTTAATCATTATAATACCTTTCCACAGTGAAATTTCTAGTTCAATTTAAATAAGTTTAAATAAATATTTTCTCATAGTTGTTACAATTTTAAAAATTAAAATTCTAACAATTTTAATTTCAAAACAAATTATAATATATTTGACATTGGACAAGTTCTGATAGTAGAGTTCATTATAATAATAAAATTTGCACAGGGTTAAATCTTGTATGAATGTTCCAAAAATAGTAATAAAGAAGATAATTATAAGGATGATACCTAATATTTACTGAAAAGTTTTTATTTGGTACTAGCTATTCCAAAAGATCTTTTTCTGAGTTAATTTAATCTTCACAATATCCTGATTACAAAGTTAAAAATCCATCATCTGAAGTACACAGTTCAAAGTACTTGGTAATAAAACACAGATGACAAATGGCAAAGCTACAAAAATGCTGAAATGGTTCATATTATAGGCACAAGCTTTTCTGCACTCAGAAAGTCAGCATGGTTATCCTCTATACACGTTACTGTCGTCAGTTATGACATAATCAAATCTAACAGCATTACTCTTCTTATTAATAATTTAATTTTAGGGGTCAGATGTGGTGGCATAATACTTTAATTCCAGCTACTAAGGAAACAGAGAACAGGAGGATGTGGTTCAAGGCCAGCCTGGGCAAAAAGTTAGTGAGACTCCCATCTCAACAAAACAAGTCAGGCATGGTGAGGAACATGAGTAATACCAGCTACTCAAGAGGCATAGGTAGGAGGACCACAGTCTACAGCTGACCCAGACAAAAAATGAGAGGCCTTACCTGAAAAACAGCTATAGAGATGGGGCTGGGAGTACAGATCAAGTGGGAGAGTGCTTGTCTACAAAGTGTGAGGGTCTTAGTTCAACCTCAGTACCACCCTCAAAATAACAATTTAATTTGCATTTTTCCCATAAAAATTCTGATACTAAATAAATTGTGAGTTATGAGACAAAAAAATGGACATAGGCGCTGGGTGTTCTTATAAATTGTTTTTATTCCCATAGTGAGCTGAAAGTCAAGGATTTCTCAGATTAGAAATACTGTAAATGATACACCCTCTAAGTATAGTATGAAAGTAAGTCTTCACACATACCTCACTTCCACAAGGCTTCTCCCTAGAACAGATTGTTTGAGGGACATATAAAAGTGTTTTCCACATTTTAGGTATTTCTAACACTTCAATATGTATTTGGTGGTGTCGAATAAGGACCGTTGAATAAAGGACACCTGTTAAATACACAGAGTTCTCACCTTGTGTGCATTCTCTGGTGCTTTTTCACCCGTGAGGGACGAGCAAAGTCCTTCCTGCACTCCTCACACTCATATGGCCTCTCACCTGTGTGAATTCGCTGGTGCTGAGGTGGGCACTCTGCCTAAAGCTCTTCCCACACTCCTGGCACTGGAAGGGTTTCTCTCCTGTGTGGATTCGCTCGTGCAGATTGAGAGTTGAACAATCCGTAAAGGACTTCCCACACTCTGTGCATTACCTGGTCTCTCACCAGTGTGGGATCGATTATGTCCAGTAAGGTGGGCATCCTTCCTAAATGTCCTTCCACATATCTCACATTCACACAGTCTCTTTTTATTTGATATTGAGTAAGTTGGAAGTCATCAGCAAATTCTCGGTCACATCCCATAAATTCATGCCATTTCTTTCCAGCAAGACTTTTCTGGTGTTCCATCTGATTTGTGTAAAATATAAAGGCTGTATCACACTTTTCATCAGGTTTGTCACTGTCATGAATTCGTACTTGTTGAGCAAGGCTTTGACACTTTTCTTGTTCATAGTGTTCTTTTCCAGTATTAACTATTTGATTTGGATCACAGGTTACAGGCTGAATGAATTCAGGGCCTGTCACATGCTGGAAATATTCCTTAGATTCCTGTTGTCTCTCAAAGAGTTCCTTGCATTTCCAATCATTTCTAAAACAAGATTCCTCAATGCAGCAACTTCTGACTCTTTCCATTGCTTTCCACTTTGATGATTCCTCTTCAGAAATGCCACTCTGTATCGATAACTCCTCAGTTTCATACTCACACAGCAAATCTGAAAGAAAATATATTTTCCTATTTTAGGAACAATGAAGCTTCTACATTAGAAACAAAACAATGCTCCTAGTAGTAAATGACTTAGATAACTTCTAAATATTTGCATTCACATAGGAAAGCAAGTGGTTGAACTGGCTATTATAACATCAGATATAACACTTTCCAGTAATAACTACTGCCAAAGGAAATTTTATCATACTGATAAAAGGGTCAATTCATCCAGAAGAGTTATTATAATAACATAGCCTCAAAATATATGAAGCAAAATTGAAAAAATACAGCAAGAAACAAGAATAGTTGGAGATTTTTACTACCATTTCTCAATAACTTCTAGAACCAGACCCCTCAGTCAAAACAAATCAATGAAGGACTAAAGAATGTATATAATACCATCCACCACCTTTAACTAAGTGATTTTTATAAAACACACATCAAAAATTGCAGAATGAATGTTCTGCTCAAGTATGCATACACATTCAAAATAGAACATACACTGAACCTTAAACAAGAATTTACACACTAAAAAGGATCAAAGCAGAATGTGTTCTTTGATCACAATGGAACTAAATCTGTAACCATTAAAATATCTAGAAAAACCTCCCAATATTTGAAAATAACCAATACATAGGAAATTTACCAAAATGTGTCTTATGTAGCTAAGATAGTCCTGAAAGTGAAACCTATAGCTTCAAATGTTTAATTACAACAGGGCACAAAATAAATTACCCAAGGTTCTACTGTAAGATAATAGAAAAAGAACAAAATAACTTGCAATAGAAGCAAAGAAATAAGAATAAGAAACCAATGAATTATAAAACTGACAAAACTAGTAGAGATGATTAATAGAGCCAAAAACTGGTTCACTGGAAATATCTGTAAGCTTGATAAACCCCTCAACCAAACAGACCAAGAAAAAATACAAGAAAAACCCAAATATTGAGAGCTGGCAGAGTGGCTCAAGTGGTAGAGTGCCAGCATAGCAAGTGTGAGGCCCTGAATTCAAGCCCCAGTACCAAAAGAAAAAACAAAGAAAGAAAAACCCAAATATGAAAAATAAATGAGGATTCCTAATTATAAATCCTACATGAACTAAATAATTAACAATAAATAATTTCAAAAATATTATGAACTATTACATGCCCATAAATGCAACAAATTAAAGGGGCATAAACTACGAAAGATCATTTAAGAAAAAAAAAGTTGCCTGTGTATCATCACAATAATTGAGTTTATATTAAAAACAACTGCCTAAGAACAAAAGTAGTCCAAAATGACTTTACTGGTAAATTTTACCACATAAGAAAGAAGTAATACCAGTTTTACACAAAATCTTTTGGAATACAGCAATGGCTCCTAACTCATTGCAGGAGCCCAACATTATACTGCTGTAACATTTTTTTAAAAAGATATTAGAAAATTTTAAGTTTTCCTTATGAATACGAGTGAAAAATCCTTTCTAGGCAATTGGCACTAGTGGAGTGGCTCAACACAAGAGGTAGAGTGGCTGCTTATAAAGCAAAAGACCTTGAGTTCAAACCTCAGCACCACAAAAAAAACTTCTAGCCAAGAGAATCCAGTTATGTAAAGTACATAATATAACATAAGCTTGTGGAGTTTACCCCATAAATATAAGTTGGTTTAACATCTGAATATAAATTAATGTAACTCAACATATTAACATATTTTAAAATGAAAATAACATGGTCACTTTGTGGCAGGAAGGCAGAGAGGGAGAAGGGAGATAATAAATGATAATGAGAGTTCATGAGTGCTACAGTGAAACAACAACAACAACAAAAATGGAGTTGGGGAATGTTACCTGGAGACCAGAGAAGGGTCACCTCGTACCAGAGGTTAGAGTGGCCAATGAAATAGCATGAGATTATGTATGGGACAAGCGGTACCCCCACCCCATTTCTATAACCTGCTCTAAAGGGTATATAAGGAAAGCCCCCTTTGTTCTTGGGGCTCAGCCTTTGGACTCCAGTCCACTGAGTCACTGCAGCTTGCTTAATAAACTTGGTTCCCAAAAGCTTTGGTGCCCTCTCAGTCTCTGTCTAAACCCTCCTGCAACATTTCTGGAGGATCCCTGCCAGGGATTTTGAGGGTGGTGTTTTCACTTCTTTGTTGTACCAGGTGCCAATAGACCATATTTACTGGTGAGGAGGGAGCCTCTCTCCCAGAAAGCCAAGGAGACGAGTTCCAGTTGCACAAAGGAACCTGGAAAGGCTCAAGAATCAACCTGGGACTCCTACTCGTCAGACTGGTAAGAACCTGGGTTCAAATTCAGGCCTACCTCAGGAGGCAGAAGGGGATTCTGATCAACTCCCAAAGACACCATAGTAACCATCTTTTGGGGTGAAACCGTGTCTTTCAGGTTCAGGGAGCAGGGTGGAAGTACTGTGCTGTGTGAGAGTGTGTGAAAATGTGAGCCCGAGACGTAGCCTGGTTACGAAGTGAGTGTGGAGTCCTGATCCACAGGTCCATGGCAAACTCATATGGTCTAGGGTGAGCCCTAACAGGGCCTCTGGTCTGGGGCTTATACAGACTCACTACAGCCAAGAGATGCCTAAATCCCCACAAGGGGAGGGGCTGGAGACAGACAAAGTTGAGTGGTGTTGTTTTCCTCTGTGCATGAGGAGGACCCCTTACCTCCTCTCCACAGCCCTCATCCCTTCCATCTTTGTCTCTGTTTTGACGTCTGGTGAATAGGAGGAATGGGAGGAGGTCAGAGTAAGAACAGTCACTAGAGTGAATGCTTAAGAACTGTAAGAGGGGATTTAATGGAGATTATGGGGTCAAGCTGACTCCTGACAAGCTTAAGACCTTCTGTAAAATAGACTGGCCTGCTTTTGGTGCAGGATGGCCCTCAGAGGGGTCATTATATAAGGCCATAGTCAATAGAGTTTTTAAAGTGGTTGTAGGGGAGCCTGGAACACTCAGATGGTTCCTTATATTGACTGCTGGCAGGATGCAGTCCTCAGTCGGCCCACATGGATCATGTCCCACCTAGAGAAAGCAGGTAGGGTTATGTTGGCCAGGGCAGCAACTTCCAAGTGCAGGGAAAATGTAAAAAGCCAGAGAAACCCATATTAGTGGGAGACCCCAAGGAGTGTCTGCCCCCCATGTGCAACTGTACAGATTAGAGAGTTTCTAGGAGCTGCAGGTTTCTGCCAGATCTGGATCCCCAATTACTCTCTCTCGGCATAACCCCTTTATGAAGCCACAAAGGGGTGAGAGTGGGAAACCATGGTATGGGGTGAGGAGCAAGAAAAGGCCTTTAAAGAAATTAAAATGGCACTCACAAATGCCTCTGCTCTGGGCTTGCCAGATGTAGTGAAGCCCTTATTCTTATATGAACATGAAAGACTGGGGACAGCTGTAAGAGTTCTGACCCAGCTGCTAGGTTCCTCGTACTACCTGGCGGCCTATTTATCAAAGCAACTTGTTATAGTTTCCTGAGGCTGGTCGCCCTGCCTGAGCACCCTGGCGGCCACTGCTGCCTTGATGGCTGAAGCAGACAAACTTACTTTGGGACAAGAACTCACAGTCTGTGCTCCCCACTCTGTTTTGACTCTCATAAAACATTAAAAAATTATTGGCTAATAAACTCCCAAATGGTCAAATATCAAAACATGTTATGTGAAAACACACATGTCCAGCTAGAAGTTGTTAAGACTGTAAACCCAGCCACCCTATTATTCAGGCCCACCCGAGCATGACTGTTTAGAGGTTATGGATAAGGTGTTTTCCAGCCAGAAAGACTTGACCAACCAGCCCATTAGTCATCCAGATGTTCAGTATTTCACGGATGGCAGCAGCTTTGTCTGGGATGGCACACATTTTGCTGGATACACAGTAGTCACTCTGGACACTGTCACAGAAGCATGACCACTGCCAGTCAGGACCTCTAACTTGGGAGAAAAAGTGTTAAATATGGACAAAAATTCTAAAATTACTAGAAGCTGTATGGGCTCCTAAGTGAGTAGCAATCATGCACTGCCAAGGGTACCAGAAGGGCGAGACAACAGCTGTTTGGGGAAATCAAAAGGCCAATAGGGAAGCCAAGCAAGCAGCCCTCACAGGAGGACAAACCTCAGCCTCACTGATAGCTGCATTGTTTTCGTGCCCCTTATCTGAATGGGACCCATGGTATACTTCACAAGAACAGACTTGGTCTGCGACTGAAGGGAAACTTTCTACCAGACAGATGGTGTAAGTTTACTGATGGCCACATTGCCATACCTGAGTCACTGGCTCTCACATTTGTCCACAGTTCCATGAAGGAACTCACTCAGGGCAGACAGTTCTCGAGACCACCTTGGCCCAGCATTTTTATGTCCCCAAGCTCTCCAGCATAAGTAAGACTGTATGTGAGAGGTGCAGTCTGTGTGCCAGGAAAAATCCCCAACAAGGGCCAAGATATAAATACTTGCTGGTGTTTGTCTGAACCTTCTCAGGATGGATGGAAGCCTTCCCCACTCAGATTGAGAAAGCCCAAGAAGTGGCCAGGTGCCTGTTAAAGAAAATCATCCCTCAATTCAAAATACCTGTATCTACTGGGTCAAACAATGGGCCGGCCTTTGTAGCTGAGGTGGTACAGTTGATGGCTAAGAGATTAGGAATAACTCAAAAGCTACACATGGCCTACTGCCCCCAAAGCTTAGGGAAAATAAAACGTATAAACAGGACTCAAAAATTGCAATTTAAAAAACTATGCCAGGAGACCTACCTACAACAGGATTAATTACTGCCCATAATCTTGCTCAGAATTAGGTCTAGCCCCACCAAATGGACAATGAAATTCTTTTTGGGCATTCACTCCCTTTAGTCAAGGGCCTGTAAGGGGACCTTACGAAAATAGGTGCCCTCACCCTGAGAAAACAGATACAGGCCCTTGGGTTGACTCTCAAAAATCAATGATTAAGTAAGAGAGAGACTCCCTGTTAACCTGACAACTCCCACATACTCTTATAAACCAGGGGATGCAGTTTGGGTAAAGAAATTAAAAGTTCAATAGCTAAAGCCCCATTGGAGAGGCCCTTTTGTTGTTGTTTTGTCCACCCCAACCTCAGTTAAAGTAGCAGAGATTGTTCCCTGGATCCACCACAGATGAGTGAAGCCAGCTTCCCTCGAACAGGAGTGCATCCCTAACCCAGCCTCACTGTACAAGATCACCCTTCAGAACGCTAGAGCCCTTCCCTGACAGGACCCTACTTCCCAGGAGACAACAGGAGAACACGGACGACGAGACATCAGCCCTGCTCTAGTCACTCAAGAAGTGGACTAGTCTTTGCACAGCGGAAGCTTGAGGAGTTCCCATATCACCTTTGAGGATAAGTCTGTTCCATATATTCTTCTTGCTAATTTTGGTCAGTTCTGTACCTGGGGACCCCCAGGCTTTGGACTGTGACTCATGTATTCCTGTGCAGGCACCATTGTTGGGTCATGCACCCATACCCATACCACCTACTCAGTGTGCTTCCATGATGGTCAGTGTATCTGTTTTAACCCCATCTATCACCCGCAGGAGCAATGGCTAGAGTTCTAAAAGCTTCACCAGCACTGGGAAGATCACTAACCGAGTTAAGCACCCAGGTTAGTGACCCCAACAAACCGTGTCTATATACTTGGATGTGTGTGCAGCAATAGCTGAAAACACCGGGCCCTGGGGCAACTGTAGGGGCTAACCTGGGAAAGACCTATGTTAAATGACAAGTATATATGCCCAAAAGATGACAGTGGGACATGGTTGAGCATACTATGAACAACTCTACTGCCCTTATTAGGGTTGTGAAAGATGGACAACTTGCCTTAAAGGGGTAGGGGGTCCAAAAGAGCTGCCACTGTTTCAAAAAGGAGAAGCAATCCCCAACTGCACACTTGGAACTTGTAACTCTGCACATTTCACTATTTTCAACCTCAATGAAACAGGCTAAAAAGTTGGGAAAAAGTTTGACATTTTAATAAATGAAAAGGAAACAGACCTTGGTACTTGGCTAAATATAACTTCATGTTATGTTTGTCAGGAAATGGATATGGGAGACCATTGGCCAGGGGAGGCAAAGGAGCTAAACCCATAACAGCCCTTTAATGAAACCACTCTCCCTAGCCTTGGGGAGAGTGTTTGACTCCTAAAGACCTCTATTATGGGAATTACATCTCCTGTCTAAAAGGCCAGTTCTCCACCCCGGAGTGGGACTCGATCTGCTTGGGACAAAAATTTTACAATGATGCTACTCAGGAGAATCAGTGGTGGGGGGCTCCCAATCACACAGAGCCCCAACCCCACTGGCTGGCTAACTTCCCCAAGTTTACGATAGCCCAAAATAATCTCAATCTGAGTAACTGCTATTCACAGATTAATGATGAAAAAAAGGTAATTAAAGAGATTACCAATGAGATGAAAAAGCTGGCTCATGTCCCTGTGCAGACCTGGAAGGGACGGCATCCCAATGAGCTGTTTAGGGGCTGGTTCTCAACCCTAGGTGGGTTCAAGACCTTCATGGGACAATGCTCCTTGTCTTAGGAACGTGCCTGATGTTACCCTGCCTGACCCCCTGGTACTGCAGTCTTCCAGGACCATTCTAAAAGCCACTATGAAAAAACTACTCACATGACAACACTATAAAAATATAAATCCCTAGACCAAGATGATGCTCTTTGACCCGGAATTGGTCCAAGCATCAAAGGGAGGAATGTGGCAGGAAGGCAGGGAGGGGAAGAGAGATTAATGAGAGCTACAGTGAAACTAAGAAAAACCAGAGTTGGGGAATGTTACCTGGAGACCAGAGACGGGTCATCTCGCCCAGAGGTTAAAACAGCCAATGAGATAACACGTGATTATGTATGGGACAAGCTGTACCCCCATTTCTGTAACCTGCTCTAAATGGTATATAAGGAAAGCTCCCTTTGTTCTTGGGGCTCAGCCTTTGGACATAAGTCTGCTGAGTTGCTGTCAGTCTGCTTCATAAACTTCTTCCCACAATCTTTAGTGCCCTCTCAGTCTCTGAGCCCTCCTGCAACAACTTGGAAAAAGGCAAATATACTTTTGACAAAACCTAAAACAGAGTCACCATAAAAATTTGTACCAAACCAAGAATAGGGAGAACTTCCTTTTTCAAGTAAAGAACATCAGTTAAAACTCTTTAAGAAAAATTATTTTCAATAATGAAATATTGAAGGTTTTCTGTCTTAAATCAGAAGCAATTAGAGTAATCAATATGTTTATTACCTTAATTATGGTGAGAGTTTCACAGGCATACACACACATCAAAATCTATCACATCCTCTGGGCACTGGTGACTCACACCTGTAATCCTAGAGATCAGGAGGATTGCGGTTCAAAGCCAGCCCCAGGCAAATAGTTCAGGAGACCCTATCTCGAAGAAAACCATCACAAAAAAGGGCTGGTGGAATGGCTCAAGGTGTAGGCCCTGAGTTCAAGCCCGAGTACCACAAAAAGAAAATCTATCACAGTGTATACTTTCATACAGCTCATTACGTATCAATTGTGCCTCAAAATATCTAGTAAAAAAGTACTTTGATATTTTCCACATTTCTCAAACTATTTCCTCTAAGTCACTAGGGCTTTGTGGGAACTTTCTTTCCATGTAGTATTTCAGAGGAAGAACACCACTGCTCAGACTAATTTGGGCTTCTCTGAAACATACTCCAGTTGCTCAACAACACCCTTACTCACCTGGATACCATCCTGCTTCCCCAGCCATCCATGGCTCTTTGCCTTGTTCCAACAGAGAAATTACTGATGGCTTAGAAGTGGAAAGTCCTGCTCAAAGAAATAAAACATTAAACATATAAATGGTGTAGGATTAGTTTAACCTACCAATATAAATGGTATAGGATTAGTTTAACCTACCAATATAAATGGTGTAGGATTAGTTTAACCTACCAATATAAATGGTATAGGATTAGTTTAACCTACAACAAATTCCTGATCCTCAGAAGGATGATGGGAATAGAAAATGTCATTCAATAAACACAAGAGGAAGAAATTACTTCAGCAGGAATCATTGACCAAAGTATCATGAGAAAGTGTATTTGCAGAGTAGCAAAGTACTTCACCACAAACTATTCACCAGCTGTAAAAGCAGTGGCTTGACAATCCAGAAACCGAGAGCTCACTTTAACCAAAAGATCAAAGTTAGCATTACCACTAATAAGACATACATTCTTTATTTCCTGGTATGATGCACCGAAAAAGGCATCACTTCTATGTTATTCTTGTCAAAAATATATAACCTTAATCTAGTCATAAAAATATCTAAAAAACCCAAATCCAGGAATATTCTATGCAACAACAGGCCGGCATAGTTCAAAATGTCAAGGTCATGAGTAAGAAGGAAATTTGCAAGATGAGAGGGGACCAAAGAGACATGACAACTAAATACACTACGGGATCCACAGCAGTACCGTTACACTAATTGTACTTGCACACTTAGTGGTAACAGAAGACAGCTGACAGGTGACACTGACAACTTGATAATATTGTATCAACATTCATTTCTGGTTTAGATAACTGTACAGCATTAGGTAAGTTGATAACATTAGGGGGAACTGGCTAAAAGGATATGAACACTTGCCATATAATAGTGTCAAGCGTTCTAATTCTTAAAATCACTTCAAAATAAAAAGGTTTTAAATGGGGGCTGGTGATGCAGCTCAGTGGTACAGCACTTACCTAGAATGTGCAAGGCAAAGGGCTGGCGGTGTGGCTCAAGTATAGAATGTGCAAGGCCCTGGGTTTATACCCAGCATCGCAAAAATAAAAAATGTTTTAAATGGAACTTAGAAAAACTTTTGGATAAAAGAATGATAAAGAGGTTTGAATACATTCACACTAAAATAATCTAAGAAGCACAAGGAATAAAAAGACCAGTGAGGGGAGAAGGTCCTATTGATGTTTAAATATACATGAGCTTATCTCTAGTTGTTCAGAGCCTGCCCAGCAAGCATGAGGCCCTGAGTTAAAACCCCAGTACTGCCAAAAAATTTTAAATAAATAAATAAAACAGGACTCAAGATACATCAATGGTTCTTCCTGTGCAATTCCTTCAACATTAAACATAAAACTCCTAGATTAAGCTTTCAAACACAAAAATACCAGGGTATAGGCCAGGAATGGTGGTTTATGCCTGTCACCCCAGCTATTCAAAAGGCAGAAGTAGGAGGATCATGGTCCAAGGCTAACCCAGGCAAAAGCAGGAGGACCTGAGCTCAATTCCTAGTACTGCCAAAAAATAAAATTTAAAATAGCAATACCAGGGTATGGATTTTCTTAAATTTTAGATGAACCATCAACCTCTACATCATACAGGTTGTGCATGTCCCTCCACCGCAAGCCATCTCCCTAAAATCCAAAAAGAGAAATCAACTACTTAAAGGGCCTGGGACCGGTGTAAAGTCTGTGAGGAATACAAAACACAAAGGTGCCTGGGAGTGGCATGCTTCTCCAACCAAACAAAACTCAAAACAATTTTTTGGAACAAGGAATAGAGATTTTGATATTTAATGGGCGAATTCCCAATGGAGAGAGTATTTTCTGAACTATAGGAAACTGACGGCCTTACCCAGTGATACGAAGTTGCTGAAGGTCTCCAACATCACATCTCTGTATAAGTCTCTCTGAGCAGGGCCCAGGCACACCCACTCTTCCTTACAGAAGTCTATAGCCACCATCCTGAACATCACCAACTCCTGAAAGGAAAACCAGCCATGTAATGTACATAATAGTAAAGGAACTATATTGCAGATGAATGTTAGGGGTATTACAAAAGGATTTTCCTGGAAGGTTTTCTACAATAAGCAATGTGTTGGACGTGGGATGTTCCAGCACAGCAGGGATAAATAAGGAAACTAACGCAGATACATTGTGAACAATGTGCTCCTATGACTGGGAAAGTTCTATTACATTGGGAAGCGGCATAAGGCAACTGGTCTTCATCAAACTGAATAAACACGCTAAACATCCTGTACCTCTGTGCAGTAATGGGTTGACTCAGTAGGCCTGGAGCGTTGAGCTCAAACCCTGCACATTCCAAAGAAAGAACTGGCCTTTGATTCCTAGGCAATAATCTCTGAGTCCTTGAATGTTCTGCCTGAGGACAATGTTCTTTATTCCTGAGAACTTGGATTGTATCAGTTTGACCTCAGGGGAGCTGGTGAGTGAGCAGTGAAGGTCAGCAGTAGGCATGGCATGTACCCTCCACAAAAACTCCAGACACCAAGGCTTGGTAAATTTCCCTGGCTGACCACACTTCACACATGTTGCCACATGTCATGGGTGGGAGAATTAAGCACATCTCCATGCATCTCCATTAGGATGGCACACCTAGAAGCTTGTGACTGGTTTATGCTGATCTTTGTCCCAGGTACTTTTCCCTTTCCTGATGTTAATCTTCATCCTTTCCAGGAATAAACCACAAGTGTGAGGATAACAGAGTCCTGCAAATCCAACCAGAGAATCACAGAGTCTATAGTGGTCTTGGGGATCCTCATCACAGGTGGCATCAGAAGTGAGATTTGTTAGAGTGATCCTGACTCACTGAAACATAACAAAAGCATCACTTTGAAAAAAGAAGTATGGCTAGGTGTGGTGGTACATGTCTGTAATCCCAGTAATCAAGAGGTGGTTGTAAAAGGGTCACAAGTTTGAGGTGATGCTACATCTAGGGCCAGACTCTCTTTCCCTTCCTTTATATTATTACTTTTAATGGTAGAAGGGATTGAACTTGCTAGGCAAACACTGTACCAACCAAGCCGCAACTCCCAGCCCCTCTTCCCCTCCTTTCAAATGCCAAGGGGAACTCTCCAGATGAAGCAGTGAGCAGCTCCATGGTTAAGACCCACAGAATGGCCTTTACGTGATTATACGTCCATGCTCTTACCCAGGTCATGGGGAGGACTGATTAAGGGGATCCTTATTACAGACACTCCATATAACTTTACTGCTGCAAAATCAAACAATGGTCTGAGACTTGACTCTGTGACTCTCATGAGTTTTACAGGAGCTAAGAAAATTCATGATTCAAAATAGAACGAGGAAAGAAAAAGGAGAAAGTCCAGAGACTCCTATCAGCAGTGTGCAAACCATTAAATAGTAACATTAAAAAAGTAGGCATTAATGAGGTCAAAAGAAATGTCTTATCAGCACTACCAGAGGTTGAGTGGGCGATCAGGAGCCTTTGCCAATTACCTAACAATGAAAAGCCCAAAACAAGTCTGTTCTATTCATCCTAATTTAAAGGAACTGAAAAAGGCTGAAAGACAAAGAAATCTAATCTTGCATCACTGGGGACAGTGGAGTGGCAAACTAATCAGGATGGGACCCAAGCTTGGAAATTTAGGCTATATGCACATATGTGAGTAATGGCCAGGTGTGGGAAAGAAACTTTTCTGTGACTTCTTGACATAGGGGCTCAAGGCACTGTGATTCCAAAATCTATTGATGAAGCCCTAACAGGCACTGTAGTTAGACTGGGAGGATACAAGAATGCTATGGTTGATGGGACTGAAGTGAAAGTTAGGATGAAACTTTATGTGAAGGGGGAGCATCTCCTTATTGCAGTGAACAGCTGGGAAGGACATCATGTCTGACTGGGGAATGCCATTCTCCGAGTGCCAGAAAACTAACGACAGGGAAGCTGGCTCTTCAGTAGTGGTCAGTGGACACTTTATGCAGGTTGTTAATTTGACTATGAGGTAGATACAAGAGATTATCACTTGAGCTAATAACATGTTAGAAACTGGAGTGCTGGTGGCCTGTCAAAAGGGGAGACAACTCATGGAAACTGATGGTAGGTCATCAAGACTCAAATAAAGTAGTCCACTTACAACATCAGTAATTCCTGCTACAGCTTCCACAATAGAAATAAAATAGCAAGTTAAGCTAGGTATAGTGGCTCAGGCCTAGTCCCAGCTACTCAGAAGGAGGAGATTGGGAGGATCATGGTTTGAGGCCAGTCTGAACAAAAAAAGTTAGTGAGACCCTATCTCAAACAATATAATGGGCATGGTCGTTCACATCTGTAATCCCAGTTATACCAGAGGTATAGGTAGGAGGACTGCAGTTTGAGGCCAGCACACAGAGGTATAGGTAGGAGGACTGCAGTTTAAGGCCAGCACAGACAAAATATGAGACTCTATCTGAAAAATAGCTAAAGCAAAGCCAGGTGCCAGTGGCTTATGCTTATAATCCTGGCTACTTGAAACTGAGATTGGGAGGATTGAGGTTCGAGGCCAGCCTAGGCAAATAGTTTATAAGACCCCTGTCTCCAAAATAACCCAGCAAAATGGACTGGAGGTGTGACTCAAATGATGTGCCTGTTTTGCAAGCACAAAGTCCTGTCCCACAAAAAAAAAAAAAACCCAAAAAACAAAACAAAAAAACCCAGTCTCACAAAAAAAAAAAAAAAAAAAAAGCTAAAGCAAAAAGGGCTAGAGGTGTTGCTCAAGTGGTAGAGTGCTTGCTTGCATAGCAGGTGCAAAGCCCTGAGATCAAACCCTAGTACCACAAAATAAATAAATAAATAAATACACATGCTAAAGGGCACTATATTTAAAGGGCGAATATATTTTTTTCTTGCTCTCCATCTTGGAAAAGAGCCAACCCTAGTTTGCCTTCATGTGAGAAGATCCAATTTACATTTACTGTATTGCCAGAAAGTTATTAGCAGTTACTGTCATAACTTGGTTAGGAAAGAAAGGATGTGATGCAGGCTCTGAGTCTAACAATATATTACACTGATGATATAGTATCAAAAACTGAAGGATAAGAGAGGACTTACTTACTCAGCTGGAGAAGGCTCCACACAGAGATAGCATGGAGACTACCTAGGACATAACAGATGGATCCTAGTGAGAACAGACGCTTATTCATGGACTGAGCTTTTGATTGCTTAGAAATAAATGTAAATTCTTAAAATGCCATACAAAGACCTGAACAGAAGAATGGACAACTTTGACCCCTGTGCTACCTTTCTTCAGACCAAACAACTTTATACCTCCGGTGCCCAGCAATGCGCAAAGAAAGCTCACATCAAACGGACATATACGCTGCGTTTCATCCTCAAAGTGGTTTGACAGTGAACTGGAAAAGGAATGATCCATGTGCTGACATAGTCAGGGGACTATGGCATGAAGGGGTGTCTTCCATGACTTCCTGAGTGTGTGCTGACACTGAAGACGGGGAAGCCAAGGGAGTGGTCCAATTAGATAGATTTCTGGAGGAAAGGGGAAGAAGGTATCAGGAAGAACGCTGGTACAGCTGGCCAAATCTATCCCACATCCACCTCAACTTTCTTTTTTCCTACCTGGTAGAGTGGAAACTGTATCAGGTCCGTGCAACCAGGGTTATGACTCCAAGTGACGAAAGCAGACATGATCCCTAACTATAACTTTACCTTTAAATCTTTATGCCAGAATTCCTAAGGTTCTGATGGGATGGGTTGCCCTGCAGACCATCTGGCAAAACCAGCTATGACAGTGAATGCAAATATGTTTCCTAGTGGTCGAGATGGCTCACAGGTTCTGCACCACATAACTTCAACCTATGTGTGAGTGTGACTGACAAATGATATTGCTACCAAGAATTTGGACAAGCACATTGGCTGAACTCAACTTCCAATAGTGGAAAAATCTGGGTAAAGACTAGTAACAGATGGAGAAGGAGGTATAGCAGCTAAGGGTAGAGGATTGACTAAATGAAGGAAATCCAATATTACACTGGGGCCTCGAGTGAAGCTCAGAGCAAGAGAATGACACTCTCTCTTAACACAATTACACCAGTCACCCAAAAGGAAGAAGCTTGTTTGCTGAGACCACCTGGTTCTGGAAGCCGATGTGGTCAAAGAGAATCATTTTGATTGTCCAACATGGTGATGAATCAGACCAACTGACAGTGGCTGAGATGAACTCTAGCTATGTACCAGCATCATTTTACTTTTATTTCTCAGGAGGCAGCTACTACAAAGGATGTTATTTGGGAAGGAACTTGGGATAACTACTGCGTACTGGGTGATCAGGGCACATGGTGTACAACTCTCGCTGACTGGTTTGCTCAGTAACCACACACCTGGATGACCAAAAGGTTAGAAATGCCTCTGGTTGTAATTGGGTCTGAATTCCACTGAAGGTATTAAATTATGCTATCTCTTCTATAGGAAGAAAAATTGCCAAGGGATTTATAGCCAATAAATGAAGTAAATGACCTACAGATTAAAAACTCCTATATTATTTGAATATCTAGTTCTTTTATTTATTTGCAAATATCTACCACAATTTTATATTTCATTTTTCCTGATCCACAAAAAAAACTCAGTGTACAATATTATCATAATAACTTATACAAATCAGGTATCTTTTATGTACCAATCTTTTTAAGGTATCAATTTAGTCATTATAACACATCTACAGGTAAGTGCTACTTACCTCCATCTCCAGATAAGGAAATTAAGATATAGAGAATTTAAATATATTTCTCAAGTACACAAACACTGAGAACACCACATGGCCTAGGAGAGGATTAAATGAAAAATGTGAAGCAGATTGTCTTTTATAGTCCATGAATGTTTATAAAATAAAGCAAAATCATCCTGGCAAATCTTAAACCAGACCTGGTTACTATTACAACGTGGAAAGCGCATTTCAGAAAAAAACAATCAAGAAAGAAGTTGAGGGGTGGTAGCAAATACAATGGAAGCACTTTATTGCACATATGAAATCTATTAAAATTGGTTAAAAGGAGCTGGCAAGTACAACCACTCTGGAAAAAAATTTGGAGGCTACTTAAAAAGCTAAACAATGATCCAGCAATACCACTCTTGGGGATATACCCAAAAGAATGTGACACAGGTTACTCCAGAGGCACCTGCACACCCATGTTTATTGCAGCACTATTCACAATAGCCAAGTTATAGAAACAGCCAAGATGCCCCACTACTGATGAGCGGATTAAGAAAATGTGGTATCTATACACAATGGAATTTTATGCAGCCATGAAGAAAAACAAAATGTTATCATTCGCAAGTAAATGGATGGAATTGGAGAACATCATTCTGGGTGAGGTTAGCCTGGCCCAAAAGACCAAAAATTGTATGTTCTCCCTCATATGCGGACTTTAGATCAAGGGTAAACACAACAAGGGGATTGTACTTTGAACACATGATAAAGCGAGAGCACACAAGGGAGATATGAGGATAGGTAAGACACCTAAAAAACTAGATAGCATTTGTTGCCCTCAACGCAGAGAAGCTAAAGCAGATACTTTAAAGCACCTGAGGCCAATAGGAGAAGGGGGACCAGGAACTAGAGAAAAGGTTAGATCAAAAAGAATTAACCTAGAAGGTAACACCCACGCACAGGAAATCAATGCGAGTCAATGCCCTGTATAGCTATCCTTATCTCAACCAGCAAAAACCCTTGGTCCTTCCTATTATTCC